TGATTTCCCTTTTCAGGGCCAAATGGGGGAACAAATGGGGTGAGGCTCCAGGGGCTGCAAAAGTGGACCTTGGAGCCAAATACCTCCATTGTGATTCTCACCTCTGGCACAAAAGCAAAGGGAGAAGCCCTTTCTGGCTGTATAAAACTCTGACCGCTGATTTTGTTTTGTGATTTACAGGTGAAAGATCTGACCAGGTTTTTGGACCCTGCTGGCCTTGGCGTGATCAGCTTTGAGGACTTCTATCGGGGAATCTCAGCTATCAGAAACGGAGGTTGGTTTATTAATATTTTTTTTTATGCATAAAAGAAAAATCCAGTGGGTCAGCAACCTGGAAGAAAGCCTTTCCTGTGCTTCTTGAATCCTTTGCACTGAGATTCATCCTGGCCTCATTGATTCCCCTTGGGATGCTCCTACCCTTTCCTTCGTGAAGGCGTCCTATATAAACGAAACATACCGAAATAAACAAAAAAAATTGCATATACTCGTTCCAGTTGTTTATCAAGGGGCAGATTTGTTTCCAGTTTCCAGTGAATTTGCCTAGTAGGTACAGGAGTTGGCCTTTCTAAACTATGTTTTAGTGCAGTTTGCTGCAACACACGACCATCCAGATGTGAATTTCCCAATGTTGTGAATTATTTATCTGTTAATCTGTATTTATGCTATTTTCCTGAGCACAGATTGTGGCTTATAACAAGTGCTGATCAGTTTTGATATGAGCCAACATCCGACCCTGGTTTCTGAAGCTGGCTTTTTTATTTGTTTGATTAATACCTTGCATTTCTGCCAACAAATGGAGGTACTTGGAGATGAAGTATGGACTGTTGTTGTACCTTCAAGTCGTTTCCGACTTATAGTGACTCTAAAGCAAACCTATCATGGAGTTTTCTTGGTAGGTTTCTTCAGAGGAAGTTTGCCATTGCCATCCTCTGAGGCTGAGAGAGTGTGACTTGCCCAAGGTCACCCAGTGGGGGTTCCATGGCCAAGTGGGGATTCGAACCTTGGCCTCTGGAGTCATAGTCCAGTGCTCAAACCATTACACCACGCTGGATCTCAAAGTATGGATTAAGAGGGGTAAAATGCAGATGGAAAAACAACCTAAATTAAGAGCATAATATAAAGACAAATGCATTGCAAGCAGAGGAACTAATAACAGTGATAAAATACAGATTCAGAGCAATCTTTATTAAAAACAAAAGATGAAAACCAGCGCATTGGAAACATGTCTGAGTGAAAAAGACTGTAAAAGAACTGGAATGGGAGAGGATGCCAACATTCAAACCAGTTAGATTAGTTTCGAAGCGCAGACCAAACTACATGCCAAAGCCCTGCCTGAATAAAAATGTTTTTACCTGCCAACTGAAAGGACATGGATTTAGTTTTCCTTGCTGCAGAAATCCAGAGGATGGGAGGAACAGTCAGCTAAGCAGATTTTATTTATTTATATCCCAGCTTCCTCCCAGTACAGGGATTT